TCGATAGATGGATAAAAATGCCAAATCCTGTCTAAACATCTGGCTGACACTGCAACCAACCATAATAACGTATTAAACTTGTATGCTGCCCAGCTCAACAACTGTGACGGCCCAGCATCGCATCCGTTTTAGGACTGGTTCATGGCTCCTGGTAAGCTTCTGAGCCCAATTCAAAGGGCTGGTTGCTCTCTTTAAAGTCCTGTACAGCATAACACTGTTGGTTAGTTGGTTAGTTGGTTATTGGCTGGCTGTTTGCTTCCAGTTAGCTGTCTTCTTTTTTCCTTGATGCATTTTGTTTTCTTATAATTTTTATCTGTAAGCCACCTAGAGTCACTAGGGAGTTGGGTGGCCTTGAAATTGAATAGATAGATAGATAGATAGATAGATAGATAGATAGATAGATAGATAGATAGATAAGGATTAGAGATCAGGAACTGTCTTGCTGACACTGACTCTACCTATCCAGTCTGAATATTTAAAGAGGCGATATTTAATATTTAATATTTAAAGAAAGATCTGTGGGGTGAAAGGCAGGCGACAAGGCTTTTCAGCATTGCTCCCCACAATCTGGAACACACCCCCGGGGAATACGTGCAGGCCCATCCTCCCTTGCCTTTTGCAAAGCCAAAAGACCTTCCTAGTTCTTTGGCTCCTGATTAAGAGTGGGTGCCCCTTGTATGAAATATGCGCCTGGTGGCACAGTCACCAGGTTAAGAGGCCTTGGGAGTCAGGCTCGCCAAAAGGATTTGCTTTATTATATTATGACATTGCTTTGTTGCTGCTGTTGGCTGACATTGGGTTATATTTTATTGTTTTGCCTGTACTGCTTTTAGATAAAAGGGCACGTGGAATATACATTTATAGCAGGATAGGAAGAAGGAGGATAGGAAGGGTATTGATGCTTTTAAATGTTGGTGTTGGAGAAGACTCCAGGGCAGTGTTTCTCCACCTTGGCAACTTGAAGATGGGTGGACTTCAACTCCCAGAATTCCCCAGCCAGCCATGCTG